ATCCGATATTTAATCTTCATTCTTCACCACTAAAACGGATTCTCGACCACCAGAAAATCACCATGCACCCATTTGGTTCGAATTATTTTCTAAATATAAATATAACTTTAAGGGAATGTAAAAAAATTATAACTTATTAAGTTATATGGACGGTGACTTCCCATGCAATAACATACTTGACTAAGACGTAAACCATTATAAATTTGTCAATGATGAAAAAATATCTTAGAAATAAAACTACACTATAAGAAATCGATTTGCGACATATATATATTTTCCGATTAATTAGTAGACGCATGATTGTGTGGTCACAAAAACAAGCCATATGGTTGGTTAATTTGGCAATTGGCATTATGTGTGGAGTGGAGGCTTGGAGCATGAACAATTGAATAGTATATATAATAATATGAGACAAGCTAATAAAACAAAACAAGGGAAATTAGGAGAAATAACATACAAAAAAATTATAATTAGGTGAGCAGCAATATTAGAAGATGGTTAAGATATTACAATAACAAACTACAATATTTCCGGTTTTGTCCCTACAAAAAGGTAAAGCGTATAAACAAAAACAAAACTGCATATTACCAGATTCTTTTATTATTGAATCAACCAACACTGTAAAAGTCATCGCCCTTGTAAGGATGAGGAATGGTTTCGAGACCCCAAAACAAGTTGTATTCGATCTTGTGGACAATGAAATACAATTCCATGAAAAAACGTTCATACCAAGTTGATTCATACATGGAATAGACGAAACACATACAAATCTGCATACAAACTCATTTATTTGTAGTACTGCACTTTCTAACAAATAGAAAAGAATCGTATTAAATAAAACATATATTCGACTTCGACGCATTAAAATATAAATAAGGTAGAAGTTGGAGATTTTCATACTACTTAACCTATGTATTATGCTCTAATCTACCCAGATCTGACCTATATTATGATGATTTTGAGAGGAAAGAAGCATGACAAAACCTAGAACAAGGTGAAGCCACGTCATTTGGCGCGTGGGGGAGATATCTTCCGATCCGATTTCACGAGGGTAGAAATGTCCACCAATGCATCCAATTGTTATTTGCTTAATTTCTCATCTTCTTTTGCTATATTCTTTATTTACAGACCCAATATGTATATTGGCCTAATTCTTCCAAACAACAATCATATTTTATTTTATCTCTTTTCGCAAAACAAAGAGATATGGTTTGGTAAATTATAATGGCAAGTGGTTTTAGTAAAATGCATATGAGTTGTTATCGTCTGTCTACCAAAATTTATAGTTGTTGGAAATAGGATAATATCAAATATGAATATTGAATGAATTTGTTTACTATTTTTTTTTTCCGACAACCTTACTTCATTTATTTAAACGATCAAAGTACAAAAAGAGGAAATTAAACATCCTCCAAAATTACTACAACATAATTGAGATGCAATAACACATAGAGCAGATAGATCATCGCAGAAGATGGACAGCGGATCCAAGGCATATCTCGGATGCGTCAAAAGTGTCTTCGCAGCAAAACCGGATAGACTCAAGTTGGTCACTTTACAATGTGACTTTGAAGATCCCGACATAAAACTCGGGAATTCGACCACTCTCCACGAGAGGGAAGAAGATACGACCAGTCTCAAAGAGATGGAAGAAGGTGGAATTAAACTCTTCCACCGGGAGTAAATTACAAGATTTGAGAATCCAGAAAACTTTAGAAAAGAGAAGATCGAGATCAAGAGCAAATATGAATTTCACTGTACAAATGTATATGTCAAGCTGAGAGAGAAGTTTAATAACCATGGTAATAAAGTGGGCCAGATCCACCAACGTAGCTTGACCATCTTGCTTGAGTATAACTGCATTGTAGAGAAAATGTAGATAATTTGAAAATTAGCAGAGTAACAAGCGTAACATGCATCACATGATATGGGCTTTGATAGGCCGAAGGGGTTAACACATGATATGGGTTTTGATGGGCCGAAGAGGGTAACAAGTTTATGATGCAAACTGGGCCAGGCCCAAGCTTGAGGATTTCTGGATCTGAGGAGACACGTCGGGAGAGAAGAGTGGTGACTCCTCCGTCCAGGGTGTTTGCAGAAGTTGACCGAGAAGAATCCGGCCAGTTTTAATCGCGACGGAGACTGATCTGAGCATCGTCAGAGCTTCATCTGAGATATATTTCCAACGAGGGGAGAAAGTTTTGTTTCCTCTGCATATACACCGATATCGCATCGATGGAGGGTGAGAACGTTTATAACGAGCGCAGAGTAACCTGGATAGAAGGTAAGGCGCCACAAGAGAGTCGGATTCGGAGGCTCCGAAGGTTGAGGGCATTACAGCTCTGAAGGATTCACCATCCGTGGTTGAGAGGAAGAGGAGCTCATATCTGCATAATGCAGCATACCAACGGGGGAGATTGGACCAACTCGACTCAACTCATCCATCACGACAGAGAAAGAGAACAATACAACCGGTGAGTTTTACCGGCGAGTTTCTGAAAGTTTCTTCTCGTAGAAGAAGATTCTTCGGAAAATTTAGGATCCCGAGAAGAGGCGCCGGTCTTTGTTAGGAGGAGCTAGTAAAGCGCTGTTGCTGGAGATCCATTCTGCTGAAACTTACGGCGGCGCCTCGATAGATGTGCATGAGAGGAAAAGTTAGGACGAATTTGTTTAGTATATAAACGGGAAAAATACAAATAACTTATTACCAATAAACAAACGTTACGTTAAGAAAAATATGGGAATTAAAATATAGAATATCTCAATGAAATGGATCGTTGTAACTTGTCAGAAATGTTTTAAGAGATCAATGAATCCATATTTTTGTTTTCGCTAATCCATAATATATACTTGCAATAAAAAAAAGCAGCTTTTGAATTTTATTTGTTCTATCTAAGATAATGGGCAATTGCCCATACCATGTTCTCATCAATATTTTAGCAAAAAACAAAAAAAAAATAATTTCTCATCAATAAATAAGAATACTTCAATACCCCCTCCTAAGAGTGAGTTCCTCGTTTAGTATATCAGCTAATTGTGTGCGGTGTTGGGCTTTACAAGCGTATGTCTTAACTCATCAATAATATGATTTCTTCTGGTTCGCACAAATTTATTTTTAGATCCATTTTAAAAAAAATTGTTTTAATTTAAAATGGATTTTCACTTTATATTAGACCATTATTGTTTGATTTTTTTTATGTGAAACATAGATTGATATCTCATAATCTTTTTCTTTAACCAAGGACTATTCAAACTCTTAGCCTCCCTTCCATCGAGATCATATTGACATCCATCTTGTTTCACCGTTAGTAGTTATCTCCTAACCTTCAGCATAGTCAAAAATATTTTCAGTACAAAACACCGACACTTTTTCAGCGTGAAATCACATTGAAAACTGCTCTCAAAACGAATAAACATCCTATACCTACATTTTTATATCCATTTTCCGAACCTGGATTCTTACACCAATTGTTAGGTTTTGCAAGACCACATACAATCTATTAGTATTATATTATATGATACATTTTAGGTCAATTAACCAAGTCCACATGATTTGTTTTCTAATCCGTTCCTAAAGAAAATCTAAGAAACTTTTTTTTTTTTTTTGAAAATTTTCAAAAAATGCCACTTTACAAAAATATCACATTTTTGAAATCTTTACAAAAATGCCACTTTTTAAAAATTATTTTTTCTTTATATTATTTATCTTTGGGTTAACTATGTTCTA